AGACGCTAAAAAAACGTGCCTTGCTTTTTTACATCCTAAAAGAAAACCCTAAATATCGAAACCGTTTAAAAAGGGATCGTGAAAAGTTCATTTTGGCTGCTTCTTTGTATTGGATTGAGTTTCTGGATATGAAATTTAATATAGTATCTTTCTGACAGTGAAGTAAAGTAGGTAGGTAAGTCTTTAAGAAGATTTTTTTCCGAAAGCCCATTTAATTAGTCCGAAAAAGTAGTAAAAGAAGTGTTTGGCATTTAACGTTTTTTGTAAAACTGGCTAGGTATTTTTACACAAATGAAGAAGGAAATTAAAGATAAAAGATTATTAACATCAACAAAATATTCCTTGTGTTTCGACTAAATTTTCTCGAAAATCAACACATAATTTAAAATTCTTCTACTTCGAGTGAAACGAAGTAGTCACACTAGTTATTTCTAAATTTGGGATGTTTGCAGAAGTGTTTGTGCATTTTTTGTCAAATGTATAAAAAGCACCTAGCATCAATTGTTCGAATTTAACCTGTACTGGCTATGTTTTTATGATAACTGGCCAGAATTCATTCAAATAACTCTGTTTAGTATTAAACGACATTATGGAGCGTAGACATCTTAACAGAGACGAAATGCTAAGGGCCATGGGTATGCTCGAACCTGGAATACGCCAAATCGACGTAGCTAGAGCATTAAATACAACGCAAAGTGTAATATCGCGATTAAGTGGACGCTACCGTGAAAGTGGTGATGTTGCTGAAAGGCACACAGGGTGACATCGCATTACTACCCCTCAGCAAGATCATTTTTTACAATTAAATGCTCGACGCCGACCGACTCTTACTTTAATTAGCTTAGCCTACCGAGCTTAGTTTAATTCTCCAGGAAACACATAATGTAACCGTTAGTCCTGACACTGTTCGCAATAGATTAAGAGAGGTCAACTTAAGAAGCAGACGCCCCTGGAGAGCTCAACCCTTAATGAGAGGAAATCGAGAGGTACGATATTTGTGGGCTCAAGATCATGTTCAGTGGTCGAATGAACAATGGGCCAATGTTCTCTTTACGGATGAGTCACGCTTTGGAATTCATCCGGATTCGAGAAGGCTTAGGCTATGGAGAGAACCGGGAAATCTTATTCGGTTGGATCATGTTCAAGAAGTGCACCCTTATCAAGGTGGAACAGTTATGGCCTGGGGCGGAGTCCAGTTAGGCCGAAAAACCGATCTCGTTTTTCTTGAAAGGTTTCTAACAGGAATCACATATCGTGATTTAATTTTTGAGCCTGTCGTGTTCCCATATGCCAATGACTTTGGGAGAAACTTCATTCTCATGCATGGCAATGCACGGCCTCATACAGCCAGAGTGGTAAGTGAGTTTATCAATGCTCATCAATTAAACATCTTACCCTGGCCGGCACAATCTCCTGACCTCAACCCCATCGAGCACGTATGGGACGCGGTCCAAAGAAGAATTTTGAGAATGGGTATGCCTCGTGAAACTCGTAGGGATCTGGTTCGGGCCGTGAATGCAGCGTGGCAGGCTGTACCTCAAGAAGAGATCGACAACTTGATCAGGAGCATGGAGAGACGATGTAGGGCTGAAGTGAACAGCAGAGTAGGCCATACCCTTTATTAAGTAAAAATGGTTTTATCTTTTTTTTAATTCACAGTTTAGAATTAAAAAAAATGTGTGTATTTTTTTGAGTTCAATAAAAATCATGGTAAATTTGAAAAATTCGGTAAATTTCGCATTTTTATTTCCAATTTGTTTATTTTAATTTTATTATATCAGAAATGCAAATAATAAAATTACTGACGATGGCTGGATAAAATTGTAATATCCCTAGACTTTTCCGGTGTGTGTATAATATATATTTCCTTCGGCTACACACTATACTTACTTTGCTATAAATATAGTAGTCTTAAATCATACAGAGCGTTCAAAATTCTACGACTAACTTTCTAAAATATAAAATATTTTTTCACGGCTTTTTTTAAACGAAACACCCTGTAAATTATTCTACTATTACATGGAGAATTAAAAATGAACATTTTTTTGTATTTAGAGTATTTAAAAAATTTCAACTACTTAAAATTAAAAAATCTCAAATTTTTTAAATGGGATACCCTATATATTATCATTTTTTCTGATAGATTTGACAAAACTCTTCAATTTTTATTAAGTATGTCATATCCATATTTTTAATAGTTTGCAATTTATTCCCATTTTTTCTATTTTTACCCATATTTTCAATACAATTACCTTATAAAATCATAGTTGCCATTACAAAACAAAACTATTTATTACTTACCTTTAACAAGTAGCTTCATAATTAGTTACAATTGCTGGTATTATTTAAAATTAATTAACTTTACTCAAATAAACTAAATCCCAGTAGTGAATTTCTTGGTGTATTTCTATATTATGAAAGATGACACTTGGGATTTTTTGTCGGGGCGAATAGCCACAGATTAGGGTAATATTAGATTACCTAATTGCTAAAGACTACTGATATATGAATTTTCTTCGACATACAGTATAGTTTTTTTCTCGTAGTAATTCTGATTTATAATTCATTTGGTAAAGCCAATATTACTACTGCCACGAAACCGTCCCATTACACACTGAAGATGTTTTCTAGATACTATAGAATAGATCTATCCTTATTGTAGTTAGCAAAGTACTATATAATAAATAGTACTGAACCAAAAAATGTGGTTTTCTAAGCTTGTCCGTGTATATCATTCACATTGACTAATTCATTTCAAGAAAATCTGTTATCTCTACCATTTATACTTATTACAACAAATTAAACTAAAATTCAAATTTTGTTCTTAACTTGCTTAACAGACATGAAATTGTCATAATTATTACTTTTTGTCATGGCAACTATGATGTTATAGCGCAATTGTATTAAAAATATGGGTAAAAATAGAAAAAATTGTAATTAATCGCAAACTAATAAAAATAGGTATATGACATTCTTAACAAAAGTTGAAGAGTTTAGTAAAATCTATCAGAAAAAATGATAATATATAGGGTGTACCATTTAAAAAAATTGAAATTCCTTAATTTTAATTAGTTGAAATTCCTAAATATATTTTGAACACCCTGTAACATCTAACTAAAATATCTTTACATAGGCCTTTTTCTATATCTCTATAAAATTCTCCTACCAAATTTTAGTTGTCCAACTTCAGAATCAATGGCATCGTTGACAATTTTTTAACCCACTGCAATCTAACATTCGTTTAAACAAATTTAAATATAACAAAAACTATTTATTTTAGGTATATAACATTATATATAAAAAAGTAATGGAATTTTACGCAGAATCTAAAAATAAAATAAAAAATAGGGTGTTGCATTTAAAAAAACATATGTTATATTCGCCACACTTTTTTGAAGCACCCTGTATACTGTATAATAATTTTAAAATGTGTATCTTAACCATCTGTATAACTTTTATATTTAATATTTTTTTGTAAACCTCGAAACAAATGAGATAATGGACTTTACTCTATCGTTGGCTCACCCTGTACAATAAAAGTATGGAACTGATACAGAACGGAAGCTTACGGATAGCGTCGATACAATAAAAAATACGGAACGGATATGGAAGGGAAACGGAAGGTATAGTGAGCAGAGGGGTGACAGTGAAATAGGAAAATTGGAAACAGTCATTAGTGTCAATCCTGTCATCTCCTGACGACAAGTATGGCCGCCTAGACAAGGACAGCGATGTTTCTGTCTAACTATTGTCTAACTTCACAGTTTAGAATTGACAGATTTCAGAGACAACTGCAGATTTGTTCTAGAACAAATTTCGACGCCATTTTAATTCTCTCCGGTTAGTTTTGTTTTGTAAATTCAATTTGATATTTCGGCAGAAATTTATAAATAAAAACGTAATAAAGCATATAAAATATATTATTACATGAACAATCCTGGAGAAAAAGACGTTTCTGCAGTACTAGGTATGTCCCATGCATATTAAAAATAGGTAGTAAATAAACACTATTTCTGTATTTTTTAGATGGTATAAAATTTTGTTATGTTTATGATCGGCAATTATTTTGAAAATGGAAACAATTTACAGCAAGGTAAGATAATTTTTAACTATAGCCAACATTAGTTATTTCCAGTATGTGCGATTAATTGTCAATAATGCAGTAAATCTGACTGATACAATCTGATTGTTATCCGACTAAATGTCTCTTTTTGCTTCTTTTTGATTTATAAACCAGGTCTCTTTGGGAATAATGGACGCTTTTTTTAAACAGTATATTTATATTTTATACCTATTGATATTTTTACATTGTTAACTTTAGTATAAAAATTGTGTTTTTCTGTTTTCAGGTTTTTCTATAAGGCTCCCGTTTTCATGTTCCTGCCCCCGTTTTCTGTCCCTGATGGCTGTGAATACGTGTATTTATTTACAAATTACTGTAAGTCATGCTTATACCTTACTAATTTACGTAAAAATTGCATATAATTAAGTAACTGCTGTAGAAATCATTCAATTCTTTATTTTTTATATTTATTTAGTCCCGTTGTCTCATATTTCAAATAAATATGTTTGAATAAAATTTTGTTTTGTTTTATTTATGATAAGAGAGAGTACAAAATACATTTAAACTGAAAGAGGGTCCGCCATTGAATAACCGGAAACGGAAAAAAAATGAAGCCATCATGTCAACCTGTCAATTGGAAAATTAGTTCTCCAGACGACAACGATGGCTTTCGGTGGCGTATCGTGTTTCCACGATTTAACACAGAGTTGACACTTCTTTCTAGTTAATTATTTTATGATAGTGAGAATCAACCTTTAAGCTTCTAACAACGTATTTTACAACTATATTTTATTTGTGATTGATATAAGTCTCTATATTTACTTATGTCTCTGAAATACCTGCCCAATCACTTCCAATGAACTTGACTTAGGTCAGTGTCGTCGTTCCGCGTGCTTTTTTCACTTTTATTTTCTTCTTGTGCCCATCACGAAGTCGTTCCACTCTTTTTTACGACAAAATGCCGGGTGCGTGTCCGTGCACTTAAGGCTAACCACGTCGAGATTCCACATACGCACAGCCACAGAACAGGGAAAAAAAGGTAAAAACTGGAAAATTAGATCCGTATATAAAAGGGAGTTTGCGGTGGAGCAGGCACAGAAGTTGTCCCTTAGCCGACAAGTCTACCCCAACACTATCAAGATGTTCAAATTGGTGAGTTTATATTAGTTTGTTTGTGTACTGAGTTAGTCTTTATTTTTTGTCCGTTTTTTTTATTGTCTTTAGCGTTTTTTCAATTTATTTTCTCAAAGTTCAAAGAAGGATTTTTTAGGAACAAAATATTAGAGATCTTTGTTAAGTTTGAATAACCTTTATTTCATATAAGCTGTTTTTGTTTAAATGGGGTACTATAAAGAGAGTCTTAAATAAAGATAAATATTTTCAGGACTGGTAGATCTGGATAAAAGAAACAAATTTTCTCTTTACCGTTTTTCAAATAAGTCCAAAATAACCAAGTTATTTTACTTTGAAAATTTGAATAAAATGATTTTTTAACCAATTATTGACTTCCCTAATTATTTTAGAGAATAATTCTATTTAGGTGTATTGAAGAGCACTAAAACCCACATTCAAAAGAATAACTTTAGATATTCTTGAGTAGCTCGTTTACGAGTTATCGCCGATTTCTTTTTAAATATTTCTCCTTTCTTATAGCCCTGTATTTACTTATGAGCACCAATCAAGGTAAAAGATAACTGTCAAATAAAGTTGTCATTTCAGAAATTTACCTATTTAGTGCTTTATTATTATTGAAAACTCATTCCTACATCGGAAATCTTAAAGATGTATTTATAAATAAAAATTAATTTGAATTAAAGTAAAATAAAGTAATCAATTACAAGGTTAATTATTGTATTATTAGAATATTCAATAACTTATTAATTTAGGTACTATTAAGTTGTTAGAACTTAAGGATTCAAGAAGATGTTCAAATATTCCTCCATCGACTGCTAGACAATAACCCAGGCGATCATAAAATTCTCTTCTTACATTCGCTAGTTGGTAAACTGAAATTCTATTGCATTCGGCAGAAATAGCATTTTTTAACTCGTCTAGATTTGGGTATTTTTTATCCTTGTATATTCTGTTTTTTAAATGGCCCCAGAGAAAGAAATCATTTGGCGAAATATCAGGAGACATTTCTAGCCAATTTACTGTATGATTTAGGCCAATAATGTTTCCGTTAAAACTATTTTTTAAATATTCCTGAACAGCCAGGGTACTATGTGCCGGGCAGTCATCTATTTGGTTTCCTTGTGCTGATCTTTCCATCGTTCTCTTCCACGCACAATGAAACTTCCAAGTCGGTATCATTTCTTGCATCTTCTCTTTATTTCTGCCTTGCTTCACATCTGCAGTTATTTATTAGGGTACCTTTGGTCTCACATCTCTGGATATTCCTTGCGATTGTAGATTTTCCAGGTATCGGTCTATTCGGATACAGAGCAGCAAACATGTCCGACACCTTCTGATAACTATTTCCTTGATAATACCATTTAATCATCAATACTTTTTCTTCGGTAGTGTAATTCATGGCTAATATTTTCGATGTAGGTATGAGTTTTTAATAATAATAATAAAGCACTAAACAGATAAATTTCTGAAATAACAACTTCATTTGACAGTTATCTTTTACCTTGACTGGTGCTCATAAGTAAATACAGGGCCATAAGAAAGGAGAAATATTTAAAAAGAAATCCGGCGATAACTCGTAAACGAACTAATCAAAAATATCTGAAGTTATTCTTTTGAATGTGGGTTTTAGTGCTCTTCAATAAACCTAAATAAGAATTATTCTCTAAAATAATTAGGGAAGCCAATAATTGGCCCCATTAAAATTTACATGGGATTTCCTATGTCCCGCTCGACGATGCAACACCCGGTATGTTTCTTAACTAAGAATTAAAAAAAATCCTTTTTTTTTTGAAAAATACAAAATTTTCAAGGTTTTTTTGCCGAAAAAAAGTCATAGACGTGTTTTTGGGATCGAAATATACCATCCCTAAATATAATTGCACTTACTTAAGACTCACCCTGTACATTAGATGTTTTATTATATTATTAACATTGGGATTTCGGAAACTAGAAAATATACACGGTTGGTTAAAGGTGGCAATTTGATGGTGATTAAAATGCTACCTTCAAAGTTTAAAAATGCCGAAAACTTCCGAAGATTTTTGGAAAAAAACGATTGTTCGAGATTTCAATTTTTTTATTTCTCTATTTTAATAGATATAGCAATAGTGTATTGTTTAATTAGGAGTAAAAATGTACTTTGTGCGAGGCTGTACGTTTGACATACAGCCGAGGCACAAAAAGTCATTTTTACTCCGAATAGAACATGCTATTTTTTTCAAACGTCACTATAATTTTTTAAACCATTTCAAGCACCAAATAATATAAAAAGATTTAAAAGTAATACCTTGTATGTAGTTATATACCTAGATACTATGGTTACGCTCGTTGAATTTGACACTTTTTGTCAGTTTGATAGTATATATTTTTGTACTTTTTTGCTTAGACGTACAAGTGCTTCACTTTTATGCCTAGGCGTTAAAATGACTTTTTTATTTTGTCAATCACGATTGGTACCCTGAATTTTAAAGTTGTTGAAACATTTAATGAGTATAAAAACCACTCATTATAGAATATTATATGGTATTTTTGTAAGTAACCTAAGAAATATATAGAATTCCATTTAAAAAATATAAAAATTTAGCTTAAAATATGTGTTATGTAAAAAACATTGGAGTGAAAATTACCAACATACAATACGTACAATTATTGTTATTAATTTTCGATGTCATTTTTCAATATGACGAGGTGTAGATTATACCATACGTCCAAAAAAACGGCGTCAGAGACGGCTGAGGAACGACAATCGACAATAATTTTGGCGAGGTCAAACTTAATCTCGTTTGACCTTAAAAACGTTGTAATTTATTTTTATATTGAGAAAAAATGATTTTTAAATGCTATAGTTTAAAATTCAAGGAATCTGGAAATCTGTTCTATCCTTTTATAATCTTTCTATAATTTTTGTCAATCTTCAGTAAATAACGTCTAGAGACTGACCTCGTCAAAATTATCATCGATTTTCATCCCTCAGCCGTATATGACGCCGTTTTTTTCCGACAATATTGTATTTTTTAAGTAATTTTATATTTTGTTTACAGTTTGCTTTCTTCGCACTTTTGGCCACAGCCCTGTGCGCCCCTAATCCGGCCCCTGCTCCCAAACCGGGTCTCTACAGCGCTGAATACCCCCTAATTAGGACCTACCCCACCACCTACACCTACCCCTACGCGTACAGCAGCAATTTCGGATACTACGCCCCTGGATACTACCCCAACTATTACTACCAAAGCGCACCCCTGGTGATCTGAGCGACGACGTCCCCCTGCTTTTCGTTTACTGCGTGCCCATGTGTGTTTTCGGTCAGTTTTTTAATTTTTATTTTCGGGTTAGAAAAATTACTTCCCTTCGTTTGGGTTGATGATTTTTTTTGTGTTCTAAATGTCCGTAATAATAAATTGAAATAAAAATTAATATTTATGTGTTTTTATTTAATTTGTCATAGGTCACAGCCATATAAAAGTATAAGTTCTGTTCACTGTGGAACATTTATATTTCTATAGTACCTACTAAGATTCAAAGACTACGTTTATTTGGAGTGTTCCAGACACGCTTCAATAACTAAGCTGGCTTCACATGCTGATATAAACACGTACGATCACTATATTACTTAATTACGATTAAAATTACTTAGAAAGTACATTAGGAATAAATAAAAAAAGACTAGTGTATTTTTCAATTTTTTTATAAAACTAATATACAAAGCGCTTTATATACAATATAGTTTTTGGTTAAAACTAATACACATATCCTAGTGTCATGCCAAGGTTTGTCGTAAGATAATCTACATGAAAAGTCAATATGATAATGCATATATCATATTAACTGGAATTGTAGGTTATTTATCAATTTATCTGTAATAAGCATAGGCGTACGGGTACGAATAGCTGGAATAATACGGGTAGGAATATCCTAAATATTGTGGAGAGGGTGCTGCCACTGGATTTGGTCCTGGATAAGCGCCGGGATACGCAAGTGTAGAGACGATGGCAAAAATAGCCAGCAAGAGTACAGTAAAGACCTAAAATAGAATAATATTATTAAAAAATATACTTTTTGTTTTTTTAAAAAGTTTTATTATGGGTGGAAAAATATAAAAACATATCTAGAATATTTTTTTTTAATGTTTGTATCCTTCTAATATTCTTTGTGTTTATTTTGTATAAATTAAACTTGTATTGGGGGGAAGAAAAATACATAAATACAAGTAATCGATTATATTTTTGCAAGTCCGTTTTAAAAATTATGCAAATACCCCAAACTATTTAATACAATCAAAATATAAAGAATTGTAAAATATTATCCAGTACCAGCAAGTATAAGCCAAATAAAGTGCTTTCTTTTTTTACAAATCTTATTACTAAATAAAAACAAAAATGGGACAACCTCTACAATCATTTCTGTAGTTTTTATTAAATAGGGTTTTCTTATAAATGTATAATTATTTGTTATAATGTTAATGAACGATCTGTAATTTTTTAAAAATTAAGAAAAATATATGGTATACTCACAATTTTAGCCATTTTTAAGAAACTTTTCTTCACGATCTAGAGGAACAACTAGTTAGATAATAATATTTTTATTTCTGACCAAAAATCTAAACAGATTCGTCTTTTATACTGTACCAAATATGCCAAAATGACACGTTTAGTATTCAACCCATATCGTTATCGGATCCTAGTGATCACAGAGGAACTTCCCGATGATATAACAAAACAAAATTAACATTGGATTGTTTTGGTTTTGCGTCTTGAAATACTAACAATGCAGTTTTTGTATTCAGACCAAAAAGAAGATAAACTGTATTAATTTTGTTACCGACATTGAGATGGAGTGTAAATCTTAAAAGAAGATTTTGTATGGAAAAATACTGCCTAAAATAGTATGTCTCTAATCTTTATTTTATACGCTCTTTTCTATAAATTATTTTTTTCAAACATTAAATTAAATAAATTTCTTGAGGCATATGAGCGACTTCGTTCGCGTCGTATTAATAATATGTAATGGTGATGTTAGAGCAAAGCAAGAATTTCCATTAACATACAAACTGGATAAAATTTTCTCACATTTATGTCAACATGAGAAAAAACAATATGGCGATATTATTATATAACTTGGTAATATTTGAGGGGTAGTTTCATCTCGTTGGAATTTAACTTTCGAAAAATCCGTTTGCCAAAAATAAGCTTTTTACGTCAAGCAGTTTAAGCAGAATCGTGGTGAAGAAATTACCTACCCAACTTTGTGGAACACCCTGTATGATTTTTTAAAAAAATTCAAAATATATAAAAAACCAAATAAATTATGCTTGTCCAAGCGTTTTCCCGAAAGACTAACCGTTTTTTAAATAACAAATATTGTAATATTTGAGGGGAGTTTTCACCATCTTGAAATTTGAGATTTTGTCAATCCTTTTGCCAAAAATCAGCTTTAAACGTCAAGCAGTTTAACCAGAATCGTGATTACTCCATGGTCATATTTTATGAAACACCCTGTATAAATTTATAAAAAATCTGAAAATATGTAAAACAACAAAATCGTTTTTTCCTTAGAATTCGAGTTTCGAAAAATCCCTTCTTATCGAACCTCTACAACCTAAAGTCAATCTGTTTTCCAAAAATCAGCTTTTTGCGTCAAGCGCTTTAAGCAGGATCGTGATTAATCAATGACCAGATTTTTCGAAACACCCTGTATACATTTTTAAAAAATCTTAAAATATGTAAAAAACAACATAAAATATACGTGTTTAAGCGTTTTTTCGGAAACTTGACCGTTTTTTAAATAAAAAATATTGTAATATTTGAGGGATGGTTTCACCCTCTTGGAACTGGAATTTCGAAAGATCCCTTCTTATCGAGCCTCTACACCCTAGAATCAACCTGTATGCCAAAATTGAGCTTCTTACGTTGAGTGGTTTGAGCAGGATCGTGATTAATCAGTATGTCAGTCACTTAAAGATTTTATATATTAGTATAGATGACGTATGAATACACTACTCAAAACAATTATCGCATATTTGAATAAAAGTAATTATTACATATTTCTAAATGAAGCATGCATTTTTCTGCTTTTCTCTTGTGACTTTCTCGCACTGACATGTAATTTTTAATCGACCGACTATTTAGTTGCATATTTGTATTACAGTTGAGGGTTGGAACCTTTAGTGTTACACAGCAAAATAAAAGTAACACTCGCCATGTCGGTAGGCGATCGGCAATGATGTAGCTGAAGACGGCGGTTCGGATTCCGTTCAGAAAAATACGTTACTTTAATAACGTCATCACCTACATGATTGTAAATAAAATTCTTTCAAAATAAACCTTATTTGTTTATTTACAAGCCTTGTTCTTCGATAAATTTTAACTAAATCCTGATCGTGTTCGAGCTTCTAAATGGACGTCAGATTATATCATTGGAAATTCAAGCTCATCTTGTTTATTCATCTATTTTTTTTTCTATCACAGGAACGAATGATCTGAATACTTAATATACAATTGCGCCTGATATAGAACACTATAAAACTGACCAACTCTAGATGGAATTTATATAGATTTTCAACATTATTCCAAACATAAAGTTGAATGCAGTAAACTTATCATCATGATGAAAATAGTAAGTATTCTACTAATCTTTTAATTGTTTTTGATACTGTAATTAAAAAGTTGTATCCGAGTAGCCAATTTTTTTAGATTTCTTTTAATTTTACACTTGCATTCTTAAGTAAAAACTTAAGATAGAGTTTACAAAAAATACCTTTTTTATTTTTTAGATATCATTCAGTGGCGAAATAGCTCTGACTTTTTTTAAGATATTTATTATTTATTTTAGCTTTGTTTATAAATTTGAGAAATATGTATATAAATTTATAGTCAAAATTTTCTATAACTCTTAAAATTATTTTGTCAAATTTTGTAAAAAATAAAAAAAAAGCGTTTCTTCTATGCAATTATTTGTAAAAGATGGTAGGTATTTCTTGAAAATAAATTTAAATAAAAATCTTAAAAATTGTTTTAAAAAATTTATAAACTTTGATACTATGATAAACTTTCTTATTATATTTGTTTAGTTTTAAACTTTGAATATTGTAGGTATTATGAGCATTATATTAAAGTTTATTTTTGTCCTATTTTTTTGGTACACGTTATTGTACTCCTAAAGTGCGGTCATACAGGCACCCACTTACCTAAAAACAAGCATCCTGAGGTCTAATTTTATTTTAGGTTACCTATTTCGACAACAACATTGTTTTGATATAACGTCAGGTCAATAATATTTGGTTCTATACAGGGTGTTTAAAATAATATTTGGTTCTATACAGGGTGTTTAAAAAAACATGTGCCATCTCTCGTGGAAAGATTCCTCACGTAACGATTCGAATGAAATTTTGAGCGTAAAAGTTATTGTAATAGACCGAGAGCTGGCTACATAAAAAACCTTATCATCGTTACATGGCTAATTTTTTGTGTGAATGTGTCATGTCTGCCAGCGCGATCCCGGGGCTTAAAGCGAGGGCAGCCAATCGAAAGGGTGAAATTTTGACACTAAAAATATTATAAGGTACACGAGTTATAATTGCCAAATAGCACTTGCAAAAAAAATAATTATAAATCGAGGGAAAATGAAGATTTTATTATTTTTAAAATACTACTCCTGTTTTCATACTTTATTTAACTTGGTACTTTATTTTAGATCTTTGCATTGCTACTTTTGGCCATTGCTGCTCTATCCTGCACATCTGCAGCCCCAGCAGCTTTTCCAGCACCTGGTCCAGTAGCCGTTCCTTCACCACAGTACTTTACTTACCCTTATTTCTCTGCCTATGGCTATCCATACGCTTACTATGTTTAATTTATTAATTTTAATTTTTTTTTGGTTTTATTTTAACAACAAATAATGTGCTTTTAAGAAAATAAAATTTTGATCAACTTGTCTTTCGATTTTATTAATATTTAGTTTATATTGTTAATATGTATAATTATATTGTTAATATTTTTGATTGCAAAATAAATAATATTTAAAAAACTCGACGATAGTTATATTTTTTCTGGAAATAAAATAAGGGGGTGTTTATAAATTACGTGAGGGTTTTTTGAGGAACTGAACCTCTCCTTTCCTATACCTAATCTCAGTAGCGTAGCGTAGGCCCCGCAGCACCCGCAACGGCGGGACTTCCAATTTTATTTACTAAATACATATATATGTGAACAGCGTCCCCTACAATTTCTCAAAATAAAAGGGAAAAAATGAAAAATATTTTGGACTTGATTTAATTTTTAAGCTACATCGTTACCTTAATAATGTAGTTAATAATGTATTTTTTAGCCAAGTAAAACCTACATAAAGCTATATTATCTTTTTAAGTGTGTTTTTTTTTATTTTAATATAAGGGCCCCAAAAAAATCTTGCGGGGGGGCTCACATTTGAAGTTACGCAGTAGTATTTGAAGTCACGTGAGATGAGGCAGTAGCCTCATCTCACGTGAGATCTCTCAAAATTTGTATTTTGAATTTAAAGTTTATTGAAAAACACAATTAATTAGTAAATAAATACCTTTGTTTACATGGAGGTATGTAATGACGTCAAGAATAAGCGTTGCTTTTTAGAATTTTAAAATTGGTGCTAAAAATAACTGGAGAAATAAGTTGATGAGTAAGCCTTAAGCAAAACTAAGAAGAATTAAAAAAGATGAACACTGTATTAACTTCAGAATAATTTGTTGAGATCTCATCCTAAAACTAAAAGAACATATCCATTGGAACTTTTGAACTTTTTTCCAATCTCTGGAACTACCTACTCGGAATTTTAAGTTTTTAAACGGTATATTATTAGGCACATTAATGCCCACAACTTTTTCCTAATTTAACAACCCTAGTATCTCCTCTCAATACACTATACAGGGTGTTTCATAACAAATGCGAAAAACTTTAGGGGGTGATTCCTTGTTCAAAATAAAGGGTAGTTTGCTTTATAAACGTTGGGTCAAAAGTCAACCATTAGGGAGATATCGCGGTACAAAGATGGCGGAAAAATAATGTTTTTATTTTTTATCTTGAAAACAAAAAGAGATAGACTAATGAAATTTTATGGAACATTACTGTTATGAAAACACATTTGAAGGTAATTTTTCACCTTTGAATTTAAAAAAGAAAATGTATTGAAATAAATGTCAGACCTAAATAATTGTTAACGAAATTTAAAGAAAAATCTTTATCAAACACATGCAAAATTAATTTGATATTTAGTCTGTTGGCGAGAGCTTTTTATCTCTTTGTGTTTTTTTTGATAAAACTCACCGATTTGAAATTAAAAATAAAATGTAATGGCATTACATGTCAGGACAAAACATTTTATAGATTAATTTATCTAGGTTTATTGAAGGGCACTAAACCCACATTCAAAAGAATAACTTAGATATTTTTGATTAGCCCGTTTACGAGTTATTATCGCCGATTTCTTTTTAAATATTTCTCCTTTCTTATGGCCCTGTATTTACTTATGAGCACCAGTCAAGGTAAAAGATAACTGTCAAATGGTTGTCATTTCAGAAATTTATCTATTTAGTGCTTTATTATTATTATTAAAAACTCATACTAACGATAATAATAAATAACTTAGATAATA